AGATAAACGAAATACGAATGATATAACGATCGGGGCAAAATAAGTCGTAAAAGAACAAAAAAACAAAAAAACAAAAAAAACAAAATAATAATAATAATAATAATAATAAAATAATAATAAAGAAATCGTTTTATTCCTTTTCACTTGCAGAAAATGAAAATTTCATTGATAATATTAACGTCCATTTTGATTTCCTGCAATGGTTTGCCGTACAGAGATGATACGGAAGAGGGTAAGCTTGTAGGAATATTAAATAAAGAGATGATAGATATTAAAAGAGAACTGACTTTTTTTCATTTTCTTTTTTCTCTTTCTTCTTTAAGATTCTATTGTTAGCCCTTATTCTCCAATAAATTTGGAAAAATTAAGGAAGCTTATGAAAACCGGCAATGAGACCCTTAAAATACCAGTTTTGGATCCCTTCAAGTTAAAACAATATGTTTATCAGATTAAAGAGGATCATATCGTTGAGTGAGTAAAATATTCAATTAATAATTGTAAATATTTATATTACGAATCTTCGTCAGGATTATTCGACATAACAAATAGTATTGAATGTCGATATAATCAATCGACAGGAAAGAAAATATATAAAAAAAAAAAAAAAAAAAATAAATAAATAAATAAAAAAAAAAAAGGAATGAAATAAAATAAAATAAATCACGACGCGTTATTTTATTTTATTTGATTTTTTTTTTTTCGTTTTTTCTTTCTTTTCCTCATCGAAGGGCTCACGGATTTTTAAGAAACTTAAAGATCAACGATTTATCTACTTTCAATGTCATCAAGGCAGACATCAATTTGGTCGGTGTTCAAGTTAACATACATCTTTCATGGGATTCGATCAAATTTGTTACCGATTATACCTTGAAGGGGACTTTAATCGAACTTTTATCGATTTATGGATTCGGCGATATCAAGTAAGTCGAATAAAACAAAAAAAAAAAAAAAAAAAAAAAAAAAAAAAATATAGAATTCATTGTAGTGTCGATGAAATTGAAAAATGAAATTGATTATATAAATGATTACATTTAATCACCGCCGCACGAAAGATAATTTTTATTGAATAATTAAAATTATAAAGATAAGAAGAAGAAGTAGAGGAAGAGGAGGAAGAAGAGGGAGAATAAAAAAAAAAAAAAAAAAAAAAAAAAAATAAAGAAACGAATAGATAAGATTTTCAAACTCGTCTTCCCCTCTTATCGATATTATCGATCGATAATTCTTATCAGATTAAAATAGAACAATACTTTTTATACATCCATTTATAATCTCGATAGAAAATTATATTTATATCTTTCATCTTCCCTCTCTCTCTCTCTCTCTCTCTCTCTCTCTCTCTCTTTTATTTTTTTATTTTTTTATCGTTTATTTTTTTTTACTCTTTTTGTTTTTTTTTTTTTTTCTTATTAGAGCAAACGTGAAAGGATTAGACTTAAACATGACAATGAGTTTTTCTGTAAAAGACGACGAAATATATGTACGTAGTTTCGATTCGGCAATCAAACTCAAAGGGCTCGACGTAAGTATTGATAATATATTTCAACGTTAAATTAATAATCGATTAATCCGATCCGATCGATCATAATTAATAATAATAATAATAATAATAATAATAATAATAATAATAATTAATTCGAATAAAAATTTTATAGTTCACAATTACTGGATTATTTTACGACAAAGGAATATCAAGGATAGTAAGCTTAATTGTCTCCGATATGACACCGAAATTGATTGATGATTATCAAAGTGAAATAACCAAAAAATTCAACACTTACGCTACGAATTTTTTGAATAATTTCTTAAAGGGCTTAAATTTGATGAGCCTGTCGTTTCTTTCTTCTTAAATGAAAGCAAAGAAAAAAAGAAAAAAAGAAAAGAAAAGGAAAAGAAAAAATAGGAAACAAGGAACAAGAAAACGAAAATAAAAATGAAAGAAAGAAAATGATCTAAATCATTGATCGTACCATTCTCCATTTTTATTTCTTTATATGCAAATATATACATATATATATATATATATATATAAATACATATAGTTGTTTTTTTTCTTTCCCCATAAAAATATTATTATATTTTGATACACTTTTATATTTTATAATTATCCTTAATCCTAACTAAAATACAATTTTAGGATTGATCAAAAGTTTTTAAATAATTTCAAAAATAAATTTTCTTTTAGAATTCATTTTAGAATAATTTTTGCGATTTCAATTAATCCAACAAGCCTAACTTGTAGTTTTATGGAGAAAAAAAAAAAAAAAAAAAAAAAAATATATATATATACACACAGAAACACATACATACGAATTAGCTTTTTAAAAATCTTAAAAAAGAATAATTAATGTTTTAAATGATTTGGAAATATTCGATCCACTGAATATTAAAAATTTTCAGCCTATTTTAAAATCAATAATGTTACTTATCATATTTATTTTGACGACACATAGACAAACACATATACACACACACAGGCGCACACTACTACGATAAAATGATAATTAATGATATCGTATCCGATAAAATGTTGTTACCTTCAGATTTATGATATCGAGGATTTATAAAAACGGTCGTCGCGTATAATTTTCTCAATGTCTTTTGAGAGATGTTAGCGTATCGAAACTGTGAGTATATGTCAATTATAATTAACTCAATGTATACGAAAATGAATTAATTAATATAGATTATTAAATAATCCTTCGAAGTACTTATGTATGTATGTATGTATGTATGTATGTATGTATGTATGTATGTATGTATGTATAAGTATACATATTAATTCATCAATTCCAAATAATAACAATAAAAATTTTATGCAAATCTCAAATGAATCTAATCTAATAACACGTTTATATACTTATTTCAGAAATATGATTCGTTCGATCGTAATATACTCTGTGATTTTAATTTTCTCTCATGCTTTCGCGCATGAACAGGAAGAAAATTATGATGATGATAATTTAAAACCTTTCTTAGAAAAATTTAAGACCGTAATGAAAACAGGAAATGAATCTCTCAAAATACCTGTGTTCGATCCGTACGATAGAACGGAGGAAACCCTTCACGTTAATTTATCCTATATTACGTAAGTTTTAATTTGTAAGATATTTTAGAAAAAAAAAAAAGAAATATAATAATAATAATAACAAATAAATAAATAAATAAATTTTGTGAAAATTTCTTTTCCCTTATAAGTGCTGATACAAATTTAAAAAATCTTCATATGACCGGTCTATCGGATTATCAGGTCAAAGAGGGTAAATTCATGCTAATAGGATTACAAATTAAAGTAGCATTCCGTTGGGAAGAAATCGTTACAAAATCTGAATATGATATTAATGGGACCGCAGCTAATAAATATCCGATTTATGGAAAGGGTAAACTCGTGTAAGTAATTTTATCGAACGTCTTTACGAATATCTACAGATGGTAATGTAGAACTTTGTACGATCGATAAATATTATCAGTCGATATTACAACAATTGAATTCTTCTCACGTTGGATATCGTTTGTTGATTATAATACAATATCATGTTTTAAAATATTCATTAACCTAACTCTTTTCTTTTTTTTTTTTTTTATTTTAAACGACATTTTAGTGGAATAATTAAAGGTTTGGATGTTACTTGCAACTTACACATGCGCTTGAAAAAAAACAAATTAGAAGTATCGAGTATTACATCGACCGTAAATTTGGAATCTCTTGATGTAAGTTTTTTCACTAATTAATTTTGTAAGAGCGAACAAAAATGTTATATAGATAATTAACTGTCATGGGTCGAAGTACGAAGTTTAGAAAATTTACTCGTAATTGATAACGTAGGCCGATAATGTTAGTCGATAAGGTAGGTCGATAATGTTAGTCGATAAGGTAGGTCGATAAAGTAAGTCGATAAAGTATGTCGATAAAGTACGTCGATAATATACCGACTGAACACAAACAAATATTTATTTCGTCATTCTTCTATACCGATAATCGATATTCATTCTTCTTTCCTCTTTCTTTCTTTTTTCTTTTTTTCTTTTTTAGTTAAAAGCAACTGGACTATATAATGACGAAAAACGTTCGAAAGAAGTAAGTAAAAAGATATCTGATAAGGCACCGGAAATTATTCGAAAATATCCAGTACAAGCAGGAATAATAATGAGCGAAATCACATTGAAAAAAGTCAATGAAATTATAGGTAACAAATCTCTTAAAGATTTGATAGATATTATAAGTTCTTAAAAAAAAAAAAAAAAAAAAAAAAAAAAGAATTAGCATCTCTTTTTCTTCTATATATCATCTATATAGCATCCCCTTTATATTATAATAAATACGTAGATATAAATGGAAAATATGAATATGAAGAAAAATTCTTATACCCCGTTCCGATCCTTTGCCCGAAGATATTTCTCAACGATTAAAATAATGAGCAAAATAAAAGATAAGAAATAAAAAAGTAAACTGCGATTTTTTCGTGGCTAGCTAATATGAAAAATTTTGTTTTCCCCACGAATTTATTAATAATTCAACGTGCTAATATTTTTCGAACGAATTAGATACTTCGAAATCACGTAACGATAGAAATATTTACTTTCCAGTGATAATATCGAATTTCTTTTTTCGTGAAAATTTTGCAAAAGAATTTCAATATTATTCTTATTCGCGATATAACACTTTTGACGATAACGTAACGTACACTTTTGCTTTGACCATCTTTATATGACTGTTCTACGTCAATCATTGATTTTACGATGACACGAATTTTTTGAAAGAAGTATTGTTATCCTAGAAAAAAATGTCACATTAAAAAAAAAAGTGACGTTCTTCTTTTGAGAATAATTTCTGTACAAAGGGAAAAAAAAAAAAAAAAAAAAAAAAAACGAAGCTTTTTGAAAAATTCAATAAAGTTGTGTTCTCATTTAAACTTTCATTTTTTTTTTTTCAATTGAGAGACCTTCGTCGAAATCGAGTAAAAAAAAAAAAAAAAAAAAAAAAAAAAACTTTACGCCTTGTACTCGTTATTCGAGTTAACGCGCTTTTTTACGATATTTTTCATCGAACGAGGGCGAGAGAGAGAGAGAGAGAGGGAAGGAAAAAAGAAAAAGCAAAAAATAAGTTTTGTACAGTGGCGCCCCTTGAACTTTGCGGCAAAATAGAAGAAGCTCGTAATCCCTCCCTCACCCCACCCCATCTCGCCACTGCCAATTTTACATAGAAACGCTTGAGCGGTGTGAGTTACATTTCCATGAACTAGACGATTGCCTCCTTGTTTGTTCTATGTAAACTGATGCTCAGATTTTCTTCAGATCCATTCGAAAACACGAGGAAGCGCGTTCCGCGTTGCTCACACGGTATATAACTACTACAATAACTCATTCTGACATTTTAATGAGCTTTTGACGGATGATTTTTTATAGTAAAAATAAGGAAAAACGTGTTCCTACTGGTAAACATAACCAGCTCCATATTTTTTCTTCCCTTTCTTTTTTGTTTTTCCTATTTTCTTTCTTTTTATTTCTTTTTATTTCTTTTTTCTTTCTTTTTTTCTTTTTTTTTTTTTTTTATACGAGTCTACTCGATTAATTAATAATTTTCAATATTATACATATACGAATTATATTTTCGTTTTCTCGTTAACGGTATCAACGATATTAACAATATAACGAAGAAGAAAGAATTTAAGCGACTTTCATGATAGATAACAAACAATTAATTTGCCATTGAATTTCAAGCAGTAAACAACGCATATATCTTTCATATTAAATTTCATATTAATAGATTTAAAGATAAACAATTACATCGATTATTTAAATATTCATTTAAGATACGTTTAACACTATACTTTACTCTCTACATATATTTACAATTAAAATGATTATTAATGATCAAATAAATAATATAATTTAATATAAATAAATTATTTGTAATTTTTTTTTTTTTTTTTTTTTTTTTTTTTTTTTTTTTTAATACACTTTCATTGAAAAATCGCTAATACAAGCGTTAAGATAAAATAATTTCTATTTGCTATTTCAATTTCTATCAATTTTAATACTTCTTTTTTTTTTTTCTTTTTTTTTTTTTTTTTTTTTAATGGCCAGATTTCGATTAGATCAACAAACTGTTAATCCTCCGTAAAATTTCAATTTATTATATATTTTAATTAATGAAATACTTTCATATAGGCAAATTTCGATCTGAGATTAATCTCGAAGAAAAAGAAATTCCGTATTAATTCGTAATCAACCAAGTCAAAAAAATTAATCGTAATCTTGAATTAAATCGTAAAATCGATAAAGACAAAATGTCTGACTGTCTTATGATATTTATCGTATTAATTATCATTTTGCATTCCAACGTGTAAAATTTATTCATTTCATGAGTTTGAAATATTAAAACATTTTATAATTTCATTTCTTTTACGTTCATAATTAATAATAATTACGTTCAATATTTAAAAGATTATTTTTATAAATGACGAAATAGAATAGTCGGTGAGTGTTCGTCGGTACTTGATCATCTTGAATCAGGATGAAAAGTAAAGATTTCGAAGTCAAATTCAAAGAAGTTTAAAAGATTAGAAGATTAACGAGTGTAAAGATTGAAAGATTAACAAGCGCAAAGTATTAGAAGATTAACAAGTTTGAAGATTAGAAAATTAAGAAGCTCGAAGGGATTAGTTCGCCATATTATATAATAAAATTTAAGATAATACATCAACGATTCCCTTTTCTATTGTTAATTGTTATTATCTTCTATATGTTACAAGTAATATCGTCTTAATCGCAGACTTAAAATATCCTTTAGATATTTTTTATAAATTAACAAACAAACAAACAAAAAAATAAATAAATAAATAAATAAAGTTTTGTACGATTAACATATATTTTCGAATTAATCGATCTTCGAAGAAATATAATCTGACAAATATTGTCTTGTCCAAAAAGTTCTTGCTGATTTATAGTGGGTAACGTAATGACAAAATCATCGCGAACTTTCCGGACGACCTAATATATATCTTACTTTTTTTTTGTTTTTGTTTTTGTTTTTTTTTTCTTTTTTTTACTCGTCTCAATTGTAGTAACAAATATTTTCTTACAACATAAAAAACTTTCTGTCTTATGCACCAACTTGATTATTAAATTATAAACGAGCGTAATAATACTCTACAAGAAGTTAATACACTGATGCAATAGTCGCATACTACAGAGAGAAGATTGGTGGATGGGAGGATAAGAGGGAAGGAGAAAGGGGAGGGAGGGAGGAAGAGCATATCCCTATTGCACTTGTAGTTCATATTTCGTCCGTACCTGTCGCTTAAATCACATACACTTAAAGTGTGAGAACGGTTTTAAAAAGTAAAGAAATAAAAAAAAGAAATACACACACATACACACACACACAGAGGACATATATATGTATATATACACATATTGAAAAAGAAAAAAGGAAAAAAAAAAAAAAGAAAAAAAAAGAAAATTACCAAAGCATTTGCATAAGCATTATTCTTTTACCTGTTTCGTGTGAGACATCACGTGACAAAAAGAGGGAAGGGCAGGAAAGAGAGAGAGAGAGAGAAGAAACAGAACGAGAAGGAAAAAAAAAAAAGAAAAAAAATTAAAAGAGAAAATAAATTAAATGAAGAAAAAACAATATTGAAGGATATTGATTCGAGAAGCAATAATTGTCACGTCTATCGTAACTCCTGGCATCTTTTTAACTAATCCAGATGGATCTGAACGATCGATCGATCGATCGATCGATCATCTTTCACTTACTTACTTTAATCTCCTTTTATCGCAAAAGAAACGACGATCTCACGATAGATCACACAAGCCACGACGATGCATTCAAGGTAATAAATTATAAAGTGCGTTAAGCGATCGTGAGTCACACTCTCTTTCTCTATCTCTCTCTCTCTCACACATACACACAGATCCACTCACTCTCTCTTACATGTTATTAGATACTTACATTCCAGATGTCTTCTCTTGCGACGTACATACATCCATATATATATATATATATATTTTTCTTTTTATTATGTGTTCTCTTCGTCCAAGTTAACGGAATTAAACGAGTATATCTCTTTTGGAAGATTAGTTTTTTAAGGACCATTTTTAATTTTCGAATGATCGTCAAACGTTTACGTTGAAACCCTTTAAAGATACCATCTTGACTTTTTCTTATGAACTGACCAATCGTCGATATACACACACACACGCGCGCGAGCACGTATATTAACACAATTACGTACTACACACGCATATATTAATTCATCACATCACGTTATTTATTTTTTCACTGTTAAATATCACTTAAAAGTCATATAAAAAATTATAAATTACGTAAATTTGTCAAACGTATCAACGAATTTAATAAAATAATATATTTGAATGAATAATGATAAAATATATTTCCCGAAAATGTATATATTCACTTTATATATATATATATGTACACACACACACACTTGTAATAATTAATATTATAATTATTATTTTTAATTATGTATTTTATTATATTTTATTATATTTATCCTTCTTCTTCTTCTTTCCTTTTCATTTTTTTTGTTTCTCTTTCAATTAACTACATACGATTACAAAGTGTTTTTGATTTTCAAGGTTAAAAAACAAAAAAGGTGTTACGACATGTTGCAGGTTAGGATAAATACTTGTTTGATTATTTAAATAAATGTTTTATAGAGACTTATTACGATGATATAGTAAAGAAGTTCTCGAAGAGAGAAACAAACAAATAAACAAAAAAAAGCAAAAAAAGAAAAGAAAAACAGAGAAAGAAAGAAACACGAATGAACGTAAATCGGCGACTGTGGTCTTAAGACGCGTGTCCTGACGTTGTTCGCTTTAGCAAAGCACGTCGTCGTCGTCGTCGTCGTCGTCGTCGTCGTCGTCGTCGTCGTCGTCGTCGTTGTCGTAGCATTCGTACGAGAACGTGTAAACACGCTTTTCTGCTGTGAGCATCCCGACATAATCGTTACCACACGGACACGAAAGGACCCGGCTAAGCGCGCACTGCGTTTCTCGGAATGTGATTCGAGTCAATCCGTACGTATGTACTTACATACGTACGTACATCATACATACGTACATATATACATATGTATATACATATATAAATAAATACATATGTATGTACGTATGTACGTACGTGTTAGTAACTATATCCTTAACGTTTCTTTTTCTACTACGTTAGTTTTTAAACACTTCATTTGTTACGCATTAACATTTTGTTCGATCCTTTTTTGTTTTTATTTTTTTATATCTTTGTTTTTGTTCGTTCGTTCGTTCATTTTTCCTCTTCTTTTTTTTTCTTTTTTTTTTTTTTTTTTAATTTATTTATTTTTTTTTTCGGACATTTCTTCGACTTCTTTTTGTTTTTTCCTTTTTCTTCCTTTTTTTTGTAATCATTCGTTCATATAGACATTCGATGCAAGGTGTAATTTTTTAATTACGAAAATTCTCTCTTTTTCTTTTTTTCTTTTTTTTTTTTTTTAACAATTCACTCATTCAAGCAAATGCTTTTTTACACGGAATCATGAAATTTCTTTTTCCTAATATCCTTCTTTTTTTTTCTCTGATATTTACGGATAACAACGTTAATGGCCGTTAGAGGAAATATTAATTATAAAATCAAAAAAAGAAAAAAATTTACTTGGAAGTTGGACTTCCGAGTAAAAAAAAAAAATAAAAGGAGAGATAAAAATAAATCATTGCACGTCCGAAAGAAATGAAATTTGCGAATAACGTAGTAACATATGTATATGTGTTGTGTGTGTGTGTGTGTGTGTATGTATGTATGTATGTATGTATGTATGCATGTATGTGTGTACATATTCAAAGTAATTCTTTTTAACGATACACGGTACTTATACACGGAGAAAGCTCGACGCACATACACACACACATACATATGTACATACATAAATGCACGTATATACATGTATGCCCGCACGAATTGATTGTGAAAGAGAATAAAAGATTAACATTTTTT